CAGGTCTTCCTGGGCCTTACCTGAGGTCTTCTTTCCTCAACTTTGCTTTCCAACGCTATCCTGGCCATTGGATTCTCTGGCATTCGAGAGACATGACCAAACCAGCTCAAACGATTTTCCTCCATCAACGTTTCGGCTGCTCTTACGTTTAAATTTTTCCGTATTATGGAGTTTCTTATGCGATCTGTCTTTGTTTTTCCTTCGACCCTACGCAGGAATCGCATCTCCATAGCCTGAATCTGGCTGATGTGCTTTGTGGTGTGGGTCCATGACTCGCTGGAGTAGGTCATTATTGGGAAGAATTTTTGTTCTTAAAATATATTTTTCCTTTCACTTACCTATACACAAAATACATATACATATAAATATATGCATCCGTATTCAAGAAATATTAGGGAGAGAGAGGGAAGGTAAAGTTTAGTTCAAAATGATAAAATTGTTTAATACATAGGTAAGGGCAAGGCCTTGGAGAAGATACAAAGGGCTCACTGATAATTTTACCAGATCTTGATCAAATATTGAATTTACCACTAAAATTCGACTTCGTCATTTATTATCTATTCAACAAAAATATTATACAAAGATACTACGTAATTATTTTTTTGTTGTTCTTCATACGCCTGAATAATGACCACTACATGAATTGAATAAATTATTATTAAGTTTATTTATATATATATATATATATATATATATATATATATATATATATTTTAAATTAAACCTTTGAAGCCAATAAATAAACAAAACCAATAAACGCTTGGGTTCTTCGGAGCCCGGACCTCGGGGTTGCAACCATGGCTACCCCCCTCTCGTTGGACCTGTGTGTGGAAGGGGGAACGAGAAGCGCAGTAATCACTTTATTGGATGTAATATGATATAATAATTACTTCTACCAAATATAATAACTACTTCTGTACTGCCAAGAGGCAAGGAAAGGAGAAAAGATTTCTACCCAATCTGTGTTCTTTCTAATCTCTCAAAACCCCTAGAAACATTGGTGCAAGCCCAAGTTTTCAAATTCCTTGAAAAGTCCAACCAATTTGATCCTCTCCGATCTGTTTCCGTCCCTGCTACTCCATACAATCAGCCTTAATTTAAATCACCAGGGATATTAAAACTGCGATAGATGATAAAACATTAACTGTCCTTATACTTCTCGACTTCTCCAAAGCCTTCCATTCGATTCCATTCCATCCTTTTTAACAAAATAAAATCATTATCCTTCTTCAATAGTTCCAATCTTTCCTAGTACAACGTACATAAGCGGTTTCCATACCCAATCAACCGCTATCTGCTTACCTTTCTTTATCCTTTGGAGTTCCCCAGAGTTCGAGCATATCTCCTCTTCTTTTCAGCTCCTACACGATTCAATCATCCATTGTTCCCACCACCTTTATGCAGACGATACTCAGACGATCCTGTTCTTCCCCTGCGTTATTGGTAGCCTTTGCCAAGATTTAAGAAGACCTAGATTGAATAAGTGCTCAGGCAAATGTCAATTCAAGTCCTCAGTCCATTCCCTTTTCACAAGATCTCGTTCTTCTGATCTTTACATCCATTTTCAAAGATCTTCCTCATTCCAAAATTCCTTTATTGCTCGCTCTGTAAATTTTTGGAATTCCCTCCCTATCAAAATTCGGCATCCTCTCTCCATTTCCACATTCAAAGCCCTCCTATTCCAATTTCTGTCAAGTTAAATAGTTGCTAACCTTTTGACATTATTTATTTCATGTCATTCGTCATAAAATGTTAGTTCAGTCCTTTGCAAGGTATATTACAATATTTTCCAACTCTCGATGGCATTGCATGCATCTATTGATTGTTTTTTAATATAATTTAAAAAAAATATATTTCGTGGACCCATATCTTGCCAAAAGTTCGGTTTATGTAAGTAGTGCGAATTGTTTTTAAATATCTCCAGTTCTCTTTGCGTTATCTGACAATAATGATACTTATCGGAAAAGTTAGTATGCTCTTCGAAACTATTTTGTTTGGTTCCATTGGCACTAGTTTTGTTTGCGCTACAGCATTGCAAAAAAACAGAGAAAAAATTGAAATAAAAAAAATATCACCCACCTACCGAAACATATTGCCATTTTATCTTTTAAAAAAAAAATCGGACAGGGGTCAAACTCCACCCAAAATAGTAAACCAAGTATCATCCACCTACCCAAACATATTGCCATTTTATCTTTTTTAAAAATAAAATCGGGAGGAGGGAAGGAGTTTAAACCCTCCCTCTCAAAAAAAGTAAATCAAAGTATCACTCCCCTACTCAAACATATTGCCAAGAAGGGCACCGGAACTTTGGTATCGTCCAGAGCTTCTCAAGAACTGTATATGTGGTTTAATATTGCTCAATATAGTCCTTACATCTACAATTATATTGACACTCTTTCAATAATATTGATGGAGCTCCAATAAAAAAAATAATCACAACAACCAGCTTTAGTGCCCCGAATATCGTTATTTTAAATTTATCTAGTACCGTTGTATGTTTGGTTCCGATAATAATTGTTTTGTATACGTTTTGTGTAAATGTTTGCCCCTCCGATGGATCCCCAACATAAATATTTTGTACTTTATTTTGGCCGTAGAATGATTGGGGATTCCCTCTTAGAGCCTCGAATATCGTTATTTCGATTTATCTAGTTCCGTTGTATGTTTGGCCTCAAAAATATATTTTTGAATCGTTTTCTGAAATTTTTTGGGACTCCTCCGATGGATCTCCAATATAAATGTTTTGTAATTTTTTATCTTCGTAAAATGGTTGGGGACCCCAAAGATCATTATTTTGTATTTATGTAGTACCGTTGTATGTTCGGCCCTAAAATAATTGTTTTGTATTAGTTTTCTGAAAGGCTAATTTATTTGCTGGATTCTGGTTTGTGTATATTCTAGGCCCCCATGTCCATGCTAATTTTCGTGCGGATAAGCAAAGCCATGTCGAAGTTATCACAACTTTTGTAATTTTTAAAAAAAAATTTAAGGCTGGAAGCCTAGACAGAAATTTTCAGCAAATAATTTTTATTTTTCGATTGGTATGAAAATTCGTATTTAAGGGTTTTTCGAGGTATGAAATACAAATTTCAACTTTGTTTCTCTTTAAAAAATATTTTTATCAACTTTACCTCTTAGATCAGTTCTATTTGTTTCAATATTGAACACATACAATATCTGTATGCCGAATATATATTTTTTTCTAAACCGGACGGACATCAAAAGTAATATTAAATGCACAAAATATAGCATTTTGTGGAGATTCAACCGTAAAATAAGAATAAAGCATGTATTGTACATATTATACTATGAAATATATTTTTTTGAGATTAGAAAAATATGATATTCATTTTACGTACATCTGAAAACCCTTAAATATGAATTTTCATTGCCAAAAAAAATTTTCATTTTTCGATTTCAATCAAAATTCATATTAAAGGATTTTTAGGAGTGTGAAAAATAAATATCATCTTTTGAAATTTAAAAATTATCGTTATAGTTTTGAGCAATAATTAAGTTTTCCAACCATCGCAATAACGTCGACTTTAGAGAAAAACCTGAGGCGTTATGAATTTTTTAGTAAATGGTATGAGAAAAAATCCGCCCATAAAATTACATCAAAAAATGTATGTTTTTTAATTTCAAAATAAATTCGTATTTAAGAGTTTTGGTGGATCCTAAAAACGAATCTGAATCGTTTTTCCATGACAAAAATTTACTTGACCTACTTTACTGGAGCGTCTATTTATTATATCTTATAATTCATTTAATACAATTAGCAATAAGTTTTTCTTATTTTACACAAAAAACAAAACAAATCAATTGATATATAAGAACTTATCCATGAAGAGCAAAGTCAGAAAACAGTAACATAAAAAAAGAATAAAAGTTTACATTTTTTTATTTCTCAGCTCCTAGGGCGCAAAAACAAAGTAATTCAATTTATAAGGAGATTTTAGGTAAAGTTTAATCACTATCAATATTACCTTCTTCCCTTTCAAATTGTGAATTTGTTGTACACTAGTTGTTCATATTTAAGAGCTGTTCCAAAGAACTAAATTCCACTTTTTTTTTTTTGTTGCATAGCAATGTTCAATGAGAAATAACTCCTGGAGTAGCCAACCTACCTTCCATTCTGTTGCTTTTCAACAACTGTACTTTGAAAACTCTTTCAGAGGACAGCCTAAAGTTGAGAACAGGTGAATCAGCATTTGAAATTTCTATCTTTTCCAGCTAACCAATTATTATGTTTAGCCCATAGTATCCAATTTGAAAAAACAAAATACAAATTTTGATGAATATTATGCTTATAAAAGTATTCAATGTGTAAACTACATTCTTTGCTGAAACCAAATTAGTTCTATATTAAGGTGCTCAGAAGTTACACCTAAGTTATTGCGTGTTGAAATAATACATTTTTTTTTCTTTCTTAGATTTAAGTGATAATCATAATTAATTCTCAGAAAAATAACAAAACAAATATTATATTGATATTACTATTATAAAGCTCTTACTTTTCAAATTAAAATACACATTTGAGAAAATTTAATTAGATAATGGGTTTTATTCAATATTTAAAAATAATAATTGAAACATTTAAAGTTAAAACGGACGGAATAATTGGCATTCAATTCTTAGCTTTTACAATAATTTTTACACATGTTGCTTCATTTTGTTTTGTCTAATCTTTCTTATTCTAACTACACCAACTAATAAACATTCCTTTTATGTAGTTTTCTACAAAAAAATTCACTAACAATATTTTGACTTTTGTCCCGATAGATTGTTTTGTCACTGGTGCTGTTGTGGAGATGAGGCCTTAGTCTGGTTGGCCATCCTTGCCCCCACTATATATATATATATATATATATATATATATATATATATATATATATATATATATATATATATATATATATATATATGTATATATATATATATATATATGTAGTAAAAATATAAATTAATTAAAATGTAAGGATATTGAAAATATAATATATAGAACATTGTTTATTGATCAAAATTTAACTATCTACATTCAAATGTACAAATATATTACATTTTTTACTGTACATTCATGTGCACACATTTACAAATTAAATATTGTACAAAAAATGTTTTTAAGTACCATAACTTGGAGCTGATTGGATCCAGTAGAGGATTACATTGGCCCAAATAGAAAACGATTTTAAAATACACCAAATTTTCTTTGGTATATTTTACAATTTTTCCAGTAGATATTTTTATGGTATTTTTTTAGTTTGAGCCCAATTAATCTTCTGTAGGATTCTATTAGACCCAAGTAAGGGTTATACAAATATTAAAAAACACAACAAAACAAAAAAAAAAAATACAAAATATAAATACTGGATTCTGTTGTAGGAACCACATAATGTTTTTTACAAAAGTATTCTTCAATTGTAATTTTAGAACATAATTAAACATTGATATATTATTTCCAGAGATCATTCATTAAATCCACATGACTTGAAATTTAACACATATTTCTCATAGAGAATAACCAGTTTAATTAATTAAACCAATTTGATTATTGCTAGATTAAAGTTCTGTAGTTGCAACATCCCAGTATTTAGACATTCTATCTTCTGTTTCTAGAGAGTCAGTTTCACTTTTTTCTCGACTAGCACTAGAAAAAAATAAAATAAAAACTTATATGTATATATATATATATACTTAAATATGGTAATGGGAGCAGGCAGGTAATTATTTATTCTGTTACATCATCAATGGAGCACACTCAGTTCGTAAAAAATGGGTGCTCTTAAAGAAATAACTAATCAAAGAGAAAAGCTTGATTGTTGAGCATAGTCTCAGTGAAATCAGCTCAATTTATAACCATTACGTCCTTACAAACTATCGAATCATAGCCTCTCCATGGATTGTAGGTTTTGTTTGTTATTTAATTTTTTAAATTATATATGTTATGGTAAAAATACAAACTAGGAGTTTTGGATTTATATTAATTTAAATATTATTTCTAAATGTATTTGTTACTCGCAACTTTCATTTTAGAACTAGGTAAATAATTAAATCACAATTTTAAAAATAAAAATTTATTAAAGAACCATTAATCAAAACTTTTTACAAGCAGGAACATCACTATAACAATTTTTGAGGGAAGTAAGCAATATATAAAATTTCCCAACAATATCAGCCATTGGAACACATTTTTAAATATAATTTAAATTTTTTTTTACTGTAATAGAACAAAACTTCCCAACAAGGTAGAAATATTTGAAATAAATTGAATTTATTGAATTGAACAATACATAATTTAATTTTTAAATAAATCAAATAAATTAAACCAGTTTTTTGAGCTTATGTTTAGATCGATTTTTAACTTTAACATCTTACATTATTCGGTGAGATTCCCTCAGTGTTTTGAAAGTGAAGCGACCCAAGAGTTATGTGTTTGGGTTCTCTGCTAAAAGGTGGGTAATGATATTTGGAATGAACTGCAGGGTCGATTTTTATATTCGATAACTTAGATTATTTGGTGAGATCCCACTATTTGAGCTAAACACTGGCCCGTTATTGAATAAAAGTGTTTAATCAATTTGTTAAAAGAGATGTGACGATTTTTGGAGTGAACAGCTGAATAGATTTTTATGGTTGATGGCTTGGATCATTCAGTGAGATCCCGTGCATATTTTGAAACAATTTAGCTAAAAACACTGAACGGTTATTCAATAAAACATGTTTAATTAATTTGCTAAAATGTATGCAATGAATTTTTGAGCAAACAGCTGGATTGATATTTATGTTTGATGTTCTAAATTTTCCATTGAGATTCTATGAGTACCCATACACAAGCAATATATCTCAGTAATCCTGTTTCCTGAAATAATTTGGCATAATGGTAGGCTTAGCATTATTAGACCTCCTGAAATCCCTTTTATCAGTAAATTTAATCACTGTTTTCTCAAAGAAACTTTTGTTCACTTTAGGATGGTGCACTTAAAATTTAATTATATTGAACAATTTTTGGGCTATTTCTTCTTATTCAATGGAAAAAATGTGACCATCTTAAGAAAAACACAAAGTTGGTCTTAACTACTTCCAATATGTTCTACGAAACTCGTTATCATTTGGTTTTCGACACTATATTTTTCCGTTTTGCTCCATAACTCGGCGTCTCATTAAGATACAATTTTGAATAGCTCATAACAGGGAGGATGAAATGCTAAACATTTCTCTCACTTACAGTATGCATGTACGGTTATTAGTTTCTGAGATATTTGAATCCAAATGCAAAAACACTTCAATTAGTCGACAAGAAGTCTTCACTTCAAAAATAAGTAAATCATTGATATTTTTCTTTTTTATAATGTATGCAATATTGACATATCTTGTAACTCATCTTTAAATTTTTTGGTTTGTTATTAAGTATTAACCTACCACTTAATACCTAATAAAAGTAAATTGGCATAAGTAGAGCGTTAGCTCAATCTTATGTATACAGATTAAAGCAAAAATTAAGTCAAACATACCTGTTATACTGTGTTGGAAGGTGTGTTATAGTGCCAAAGTAGGCAGAGTTTTTCTGGCAGCAACTTTCATTGGATCTTGTACTGCCAAATATTCTGTGGAGATAACACACAGTTTAGCGTCTATGACTCAAATTTATGGTATACTAATAAAAACCAAATTATATGTTATAGGAAGAGAATATTAATTATTAAAACCTACTTCCGCTGATGAGGAGATAACCCTGCTTTTGAGATACTACCTAACTCTTTGTCGAAAAGTAGTTGGGTATTCTGTTCCAACATATATTCCCAACATCGGAACTGTTCTTCAGACATTTGACCTCCTCCAGACCTTGGTAAAAGAATTATTTTTTTTCATTAATATAAATATAAAAAATAAATATTATGACAAGACTGTGCAAGCACAAAAGATGACAAACACATGAAATAGTAGGTATAAACATAAATCTAAATTATTTAATATAGACATTGACACAATATCGTTTTTTAAATAGCAATTAACAAAATTACGGAAGAAAATATAATCAAGTGACTAGCTAAACATTTAACTTATAAATGTGCATATAATTATCTGTACTAGTAACTTTACATTACATAATATATTATATGCATAAATATTGTGAAAAAAAATTAAGTAAATGTTTCCAATTGAAAGGCACAAATTAATGTTAAATATATATATATATTTCTTATACCTTTCAGAGGGTGATTCCTCGCAATCACCAAAATGGCTACCGTCATGAATTCTGGATGTCATTTTTCTCGTACCATTTTCACGCATTAAAACTGGTTCAAATCGGTGTTCCTCAGGTTCTTTCTTGAATCCAAACATGCAATGATCACAAATAAAACTACATTATTATAATGATTATATACAGCCATAGTAACATACTATTCCATGTATTTACTATATAAAAAATAATGTAAATGATTTTAGATTTTGACCAAATTAATATATTTTACATAAATACATTTGTTAAGAATATTGGGTAGATTTAATATTTCATTTAGGCAAATAATGGCAAAGAGTAATAAAAGTTCAATTAAAATTTGTTTTGAGTACACCTCATAATTTGTTTGATTTTAAATACAATTTCCAGTTTTTAAATGGATAAAGAAAATATTTTGTCAGCTAAATCTCAGCCTATTTTTTTAAAAATGTATTCATTATTTTAAAGTAATCATGTAATTTAGAACATTTTAAAAAATGTACATCTTACAAAAGTCTATTTCCTGTGATAAAGTCAGCTTTATCAGAATTATTTATGGCTTAAGATTTTTAATAATTCTGATAAATAATTGTTGAATATATCTAACATATCTAGTAGCTTGAAAATATCTAATAATCAAATACATTTTAGATGGAGTTCAACTTTAGAGTATGTTTTATGAATTTTGACCTTGTTTATCAATCGGAAAACACACTAATTGCATAAATACGACACAAACTCTTTTATAGACGAAATATACTTACATCAAGTGCAAAATTTTCTAGTTTCACAGAGTAAAGATTTATCGAAGTACTAAGTGATTTAATTCATAAATTTTTGCAATATGCTGGCAATATATAAATGTAAAAGAAAATATTTATTGGATAAATCATAATTTTTCTATCAGAATTTTTAGATAATTTAGAAATTTGATTCTAAACTTTGATTAAAAAAAAAATGATTATAATGAATTAAGTTAAATGCATACTTTTTCAGTTATGTAGTGAAGAAAGTTCTCTCCGGAACTCGCCTTGCCGTAGCTTGCTTGATCGCTTTGTCCACTTGGAGATGATCTATCAACATGGCACCAGCATCCATCTGCCTTTTCCTATAATTATACATTATAACATTCAAATGATTGTATTCTTTTAGGTATATTTTAAGAAATAAACCAGTCATCAAACAATAACATGGATTAACATATCCCTACTTTAAATTATAAGTAGGATTATATTTATGAAAATCTAACTAAATTTACTGTGTTTTACTCTAGATATCAATAGAAAAGCAGTAACTAGATATGAGGATAAGCATTATTGTTGTTAGACTCACTGATATAAAAATAAAGCAAAAGATTCATCCACTTCCATTCCCTCTGATATACGAATACAGCTATTCATTCGCAGGAGGACTACTGCACCCAATGGCACAATGCTATGCTACTGAGAGGTCAGGGAGTATGGGGATGGCTTACAGTGACAGAGGATTACATTATCCGGTACCCGAACCCTTTTCTTGAAGCCATAGAACATCTAAAAACCAAATAGAGGTGGGGTGGCTGAGTGGGCTAACTCATACGCACAGCACCATGTGTTGCCTGGCAACCTGATAACCGAAGTTAGTAATTGAAAAATAATTACGAGTTCAAATTCCGGAAACCTCTTGATAAGGAGGCCCCATTCAGACACTAGCTGAGGGCTTCCAACAGAATCAGACAGCCTACTCTTGAATATAATTTATGAACTAAAGAAGATTAAATATAAATTTTAAATCTAAATTAATAATTACATAAGACGATAAGGTATTGGCACTTGTGTGAATGCCGATTAATAAAATAAAATAATCAATAAAAGAAGTTGAAATAAATAAAATAGGATAAGAATTAGTTCAAATAAGTGCCCAATGTATAAAATTAAATACAATGAATGAAAATCAATATAAACAAATCTAGAAAGGGTTCAAGTTGGGAATTGAAAGGTAAATAAGTACAAACCAACAAGAATATTTATTAAAACATTTTAATTTCTACAGACTTAATTAGTATTTAAATAATACCTTTCAAAGATAGGAACAATCCAGTTGTTTGTTGTGGGCTAAAAGTTAGATAAAACAGTAAAAATAATTAATCAATATTATTATTCATATATATTCTGACTATGCATTGTATATAAATTTTGTCAATGGGATTTTATAAGTTTTATTTTCAAAACTTTTAACTAAGAATGAGGCTATTAAAGTATCTGTAATATTTTTTTTCTAACCAACCAGATTATTTATTAATCTTTGTTTTTATAGTTATTTCTATGAAATTGGTGAAGACATAAATAAAAAGAAATTTAGATACCAGCCTACACATTCTCTGAAAAAATCTTAGAAATTGGATTTGTTTCCTGATGGTATTAAGAAAAAGGAGCTTTATTTGGAAGAAGATTCAATTCGTCTTTAAATAAATTATTCATATTTTATTTTCAAGTTTGACATATTTGTTCTAGTTATTATTACCAATTCCGATTTACAGACTTTGTTTTGGCCTCTGGGTAGTAGACTGGTTTAATTTAGAAAAGGACCCATCCAAATTAGTCAAACTTTGAAGTAAAAAAGTTGGTTAATGGATTACGTCCTGGGAAGACTAGCTTTATTTAGAAAAGGTCCATCCATCTTCAAATAAGTCATTTTTTTCTTTAAATATTAAAATTTTCGTGACATAAAATTTAATTGTGGCAGATGTGTGAGGACTTTTAAATTACAGGGTCAACAACTTTCTTCAAATTGGGTGATATATTTGGCCAAAGCTATACATATATCTATCATGCATACGAGTATACACAAAAAGCATTGATCTGTTAACAAAAACTTCTTCCTCACTTCATAGACTGAATAATTTTTCAGTTGTCAATTTATTTGTTAGCCCTATAGTCTTGTTGAAATCGTACAGCATCACATGATCAATATGCATGCTTTTTACTCTTTATTTTAGTGGTTAATAATGGAAAGTAACAACGGTTTAACGTAACGTACATAGTGGTTAATAAAGTAATGTAATAACAGTTTAATGTAACATTTCCTACACAAAGCTGTTATCAGTATACCAATTGAAAATTTATCTATTTAGTGAAAGCAAACATTTGTTTTTTCTAGAGAAGCACAGGACCTTGAAAGTTTTTAGCTAGATGGATTAGATGGAACTCAATGGTGTAATCCAAGGTGTAAGCACCCTTTGTAGCCTATCATTTTTTGTTTTTTTAAATGATTAATGAATAATAAATAAATCTGGGGGCTTGCTCATCACACAACTTCCAATTTACCATCTTTCATAATAATTTGGAATTCAATCTCTGTTAAACTATTTTAAGATGCTTAAGACCTCCCTGATAAAAAAAATAATAAGTGTACATTTTTATAACAACCTAAATCAAAATCGTTAAAGCTATTTAAAAAAAAAAAAATATAAAATCTATTAAATAAAAGGCTACTTTCGGTGATTCAATTTTAGTGAAAAAGTTGCTGTAATTTTCCAGGCATATACTTACCTTAAATGTAATTGTTTCTTACACAATTTTTAGTTAAACTGTTCGCATATCAAAACATACTAAGATGTGAAACTTGGCCATTTGGACTTAGGGGACTTCAAAATGTATATTCCATAAACAGGTAAGTAAAAGTGAACAAATTATTAAGGATGAGAAAAATAGAATAATATCTCTATCTATTAAATATAAACAAGTTTGAAAATCGTTTAATGACTAATTGACCCCTACCTGCAGCCTATATGCTGTATTTGTCAACGTCTGCTGTAAAGAAACTACAATAACTGATAGGTTGTCCTCACAACCATAACTTTGAGCTAGGTCTTGTAAGCGTTTTGCAGCCAACCCTGGCACTGTTACATGACGCACTTCTGAAGCTGCTTCCTCAGCCGACACCACTTCCCATAGCCTATTAAAATTAATTATAATTATAATGAGTTGACATTTTCCATTGTTTCATTAATTATAATTAAAAATGGATAAAAATTACCTTTTATTGGCCATAATAAGAAATCTGTCGTCATCTCTGAGCGTAAGCTCGGTAACATGAGGATCTGGTATAACAAGTGGATACATTGAACTGTTACCAATCTGGCTTCTCACCATCTGTAGAATATTAAAATTGAAAAATACATTACAAAACAAAGGGAAAATTAAAGTGAAATAAGAATTTAGCTTTTTATATTCACAATAATCAAGTTTAAAATAATATTGGTTATGAATATTTTCTAAAAGTATATTTATAGTAATAAACCAAATACCGTTGATGTATTGAAAAAAAAAAAAATGAAAAATAATATTTCATAAAATTGAATTACTACGTATTTTAATCTACCAAGTTTTCTCTGAATGAAATCAAAATACTGTGCACTTAGCATGATTATTTTGACATAAATTAGTGTAACTATTATTTTGATTCATTAAAATGAGTTTTTACAATCATAAATATGATTGAAATTTACAAGTATCCACAAAGTGCCATTCAATGTGAACTTTGTGACTTATTTTAATAATAAACTAATATTCCCAAGCAAGAAGTTTAACAGAAAAAAAAAATTAGTTTCTTCTCAGAAAATTTGATCATCACATCATCAATTAGTTATTAAGTTAAACTAGGATTAATGATAAAAATAACTAATTAAGCATATTATTTAACATGTTCATATGATATTACAGTTAAAAATTATACATTATTTGTGAGGGTGTTTCATTATAACATCTCTGCAGATTAATTACAAAAAAAAAAAAAATAAATAAATTAGTTTCAGAAATTACAATCTTATAATTTGACATAGTAATATCTTGCTGCCACTATTTATTTGTTCTTATTAAGTAATATAAGAATTTAGAAGTAAACTTTTATAACACAGTTGTTGACTTAACTTATTTTTCATGAATTGAGCTATCAATTATTCACTGGGACATGATCTGAGATCCTTGGCTTTTTATTAATAATAGGATAGGACATTAATTTACATCCTTCTATAGATAAAATATTACAATAGTAATGCAGAACAGGAATATTTGCCTTTAATATCTTTGGATTACTTTTCTAATAACCTCCAACTTGTACTTATTACTAGTATTTGAAGAACTAATGTATAAGGGATAAGCTAATTAATTATTAATACTCCTATTTTTTACAAATAATATCTTAATAATATTTATAATTATTTCAAGAAGCATTTCAATAAAAATAATGCAAAATAATTAACCACTAGGAAATTTTTGTTCTTTAGACTTTATCCAAGTAAATATTTTAACGTTCTAATAAAGATAACTATAAAATACAATTTTTGAATTGCCTTACAATAACATAATAAAGATAAAAATTTATTGTAGGATTACAGAATAACTATATGAAAAAAACAACTATTTTTAAAAATTTAATTATTTAATTGATTTCTGAGTATAAATCAGCCCTTTTTCTTTTTTTTTTTTTTCTGTAAGGAGGAAAGTGGCTTTTCAAACTACATGATAGAAACAGTGAGTTCTATAGTTTTTTATAAATAACTGTAAACTATTTGATTTAACATTATCAGACTTTATTTGGACAGTCAAATAATTATGAATAGATTTAGTGTTCATTAGTTTATTGTAGTATGTTTTGATGAAAAAATACCTGAGTAGGAACATGTGCCAAAGTAAGTGAAGACGATGCTCGGGCAAGTACTGCTTTAGCTTCTCCAACAGTAGCAACACGAAGAGTCCTTTTCTTTACACCGCTTCCACGTTCGCTACACATATGACAAACCAGTGCACAGCAGCCCAATCTTTGACCTCTCTCCTTCAATTCCCTTTAATAAATTAAGTTTAAAATGATGGTTATGAATTTTAATTTGGCATATAAAACAAGAAAAATGTGAAAGTTTATCAGAAAAATATTAATTATCCAAAAATAGAAAACACCAATTATCTAGTAAACACACCCAATAACTAAATAAAATATATTTTAAATTTGAATTTATTTATTTATCGGCTCGACAGGCACCTGAAGCTGCCCTTGGCCCTCTCAACGGCTCTTTCCCAATCGTTTCGGTCAGCAGCATGTCTGCTGGATACTTCCACCATCCACCATCAAGTCCTCAGCCACGGAGTCCTTCCATCTTCTCTTCGATCTTCCACATGGTCTTACTCCATCTGGGGTTTCATAATATGATTTCCTCACAGCTCTACCTTCATCCATTCTGATAATGTGTACCAGCCATTTTAAGCTCTGAATTTGCACGAAATGAGAAACTCGGAGATCGTCGAATAAGTCGTAGGTCTCTCTGTTCTTTCTTAAAAGCCAGGTCCCATTCTTTTTAACTGGCTCCATGATGCACCTCAACACTTGCCTTTAAAAACTGTCAATCTTTTCAGCCAGGCTTTTGCATAGGGTCCAGGTTGCACTGGCATAGGTCAGTACAGGTAGGATGATTGTTTTGTATATAATCATTTTCGTACCCCGACTTAGTAGCTTACTCTGGAGGAAACTTCTTAGGGCGAAATATGCTTTGTTAGCCCCCATTACATGATTTTGAATTTCTTCTTCTTTGTCAACCTGATAATTAACGATGGAGCCGAGGTACTTAAAACTGGACGTGTATTGAGACATATATTGTCCCACTACATAATGCTTAGGGGGATTTATATGTATTTTCTTCCTGAGCACCATAATTTTTGTTTTTTCCTCATTTATGGATAGCCCCATTCTTCCAGCTTCTCTTAGTAACCTTTTACAGGTCTCCTTGATCGCCTTGAGGGACAGTTCAATCAGTGCCACATCATCAGCATATCCAAGCACTTGAGTCATTTTACTAAAAATGGTGCCCAACTGACTAAGCTCTGCTCTATTCACCACAACTTGGAGGGCAATGTTAAATGGAAGTGAGAAAAGGGGGTCACTCTGTCTAATTCCTGACTTCACTGTGAAAGGTTTTAACTTTGAATATCAAAATAATATTATTAAAAAGTACTATTAAACATTTTACTATAAAACAGTATGATCACAAAAAGTGTTTTGATTATCAGAGTCTCAAAATTACTATTCTTAGTGTAACATTATTCAAATTAAGTATTGTAACAAAATTTTATGAATTTAACACAGACATGCATCTTCTCTTTGTGGACTTCAAACAGGCCTACAACAGTGTAGACAGAAAGGGACTATTGAAATCTGTGATAGATGTAGGCATACCCGAGAAACTGGTCAGACTTACAAAAATGATGCTAATGAAGACTACTTGTTGAGTAAAGCTTGCAAATTTGCTGTCTGAAGAATTTGAGGCGGATAATGGATTGAGACACAGCGATCCTCTATCTCCCCTTCTTTTTAATCTAACCCTGGATGTGGCTATTTGTTCTATTTGAACAAATCCAGGAGGAACAATCTACAATCATCTGTCTCAACATCTGGAATATGTCGATGATGTTGCCATTATCTCTAAAACCCAAGCAGCATTATCAGAAACTTTCCAGGAATTCGAAGAAGCAGCGGCTAAACTGGACCTTAGAGTTAATAGAAATAAGATGCTGTATATGAAAAGTTAAAAAATGAAAAGGAAGTGAGTACGGAAATAGCTTTAAGGAATTACAATTTAGATCTGTTGACCAGTTTGAGTACCTTGGAAGCCTAGTCACATGCAATAATAAAATAGAGAGTGAGATTAAGGCCAGGATAGCAGTTGGAAATAAATGCTATTTCTCCTTGCAAAGAGGCTTGAAATTCAGATCAGTCTCAAAAAGAATCATATCTACTAAAATCCTCATCTACAAAACCATAGTAAGGCCAATGGTTATGTACGGGTGTGAGACTTGGACCTTAACCAAAAATTCAGAACGCACACTCAACTCCTGGGAGAGGAAAGTATTGAGAAGAATATGGGGCGGATCTTTGAGAATGGAATTTGGAGAAAAAGAAAGAATGAAGAGCTGCGGGAACTTTAAAGTGAACCTGATATTGTGGCATTGATAAAAAGAGCCAGAATCAGATGTTTAGGTGATTTAGAAAGAATGCCAGACCAAAAAATACCAAAGAGGATGCTGCATGAGAAGCCGAATGGCAAAAGAAGTAGAGGGCGCCTCCGGATCAGATAGCTCGAGATTGTGGAGGACGATCTGAGGCAGCTGGGCATTCGAAGATGGAGAGAAGTAGCACAAGACCATGGAGATTGGTTGGCTGTGGAGTGGAGGAGGTCCGGGTCCTTGCAGGACTGTAGCGCCATTATAATAATAATAACATTATTCAAATTAAATGTATTTCTTTTTAAATTAAAACTTTTAATTATTATTTTATTAGAGTATGAAATGTTTTGATGCTCTATTCAAATAAAAAAAAAATTGGTATAATATAATCAAAATCATAATTAACTGAAATGATACCTATGTGCAGCAAGCAGAGTATATTTCATATACTCAGTAGCAGTTTCTTTAACAGTTCGTTCTTCCAAAAGAATTCTCGGGATAGATGAAGCCAAAATTTTTGGAAGTTCCGAATCTGTTCCAGAATCAAAAAGTCCAAGGAGTGCTTCACTACCACAAAAACCAGTTAACCTCAACTGAGCAACACACAACCTAAAAAATAAGTATTGAGGTTAAAACCAAATTTTCTGCACTAAATAAAACATATATTTTTTCAAACCTGCCAAGTTTGAAAACAGAAGGCTTCATTCAATATGAAGTATTAATTTGATTTTTTCTCACCAAAACATGAAATGTTTTTTTAAAAGAAAGAAGAAATAAAACAAATTCAATGAAAAATACACCACAAACTAAGCCAAAAACAATTCATAAGAATACATATCTACCCCTCTCCCTTTGGTTTTGTGGCACATGACCATGTGTATAATATGTTCTTTATAAAGTATGCTATCATAAAAAGTTTATGATAAAACTTTTTTCTTGGGCCAGCCATTATTTTGTCGAAAATATAATAAAATAAATGTAATTTTATATTTGTGACGTACAATTAGGCTAGGATTAGATATGCTAAATTTTATAAATGGTTCTTTTTATAGGTATAATCCTTAGATTAAAAAAGTTATTCCTCTAACATCAAAATATGAATAAAAATGAATTATATACCTTTCTCTGTTTCCAGGAGTTTCTGAAAATCCTACTGTCCATTGAGCAGGATTTGAATTATTCTGTTCTGGTTCTGTAGGAAGGGCAGCTCGACCTTTACCAGAAGTGTCTACTAAGCTGACATTTCTTTGAGATCTTTAATGATAATAACAATAAAGATTTTGGAAGTTAATCAAATCATTGCATTATAATAAAAAAAATGTCTTTATTTACAATAGGCACATGCATTAACATAACTATTAACCTGTAATCATTAAATTGTCGAGGATCAACCTGTAATCTTGTATTACCCGATATATCCAAAAATTGTAATTGCTTCGATATTAAAGAAGAAAGATTAACTTTTTCTAAATTGTTATGTGATAAGTCCAGAACCTAAAAAAAAAAAAAAAAAAAAAAAAAATCAATTTTAATTATAGGCATTATTTTTGATAATGATTATTATATTACACTGCACATGAGGGGAGGTTAACATGATAGTGATGTATGCCAATATTGCTTTTTGTCCAGAAAGTGAATATTTTGTAAATATATTTTAGGGTAAATCCATTGGAAATCAACAAGTATTATTCGACATATTTGATTTTTACAACTTTTTTATCAGTTATTCCCAATTTAATAGTCAGTATAAAACTATACTTAAAAAAAAATAAGGCTCATATATTTTTTTTATTGCAGCTATTATGAATTTACTTTTCAAATGAAAATATTTGTTGAGAAAATATATCTAACTTTTGGTTTTGTAAGTATCAAATCAAATTTCAAAAAGTTGTAAATAAATGATCATGTTGTGATGATAAACTATAGTTAAATAATGATGATAGTGAACATCTGTATTTTTGTTTCTTCAATCCCTGATAAGGGAGGGAGTTATAAATAGATTGATTTCGATTTTCACCTATAGCCAACAAGCAATTGGTGCCTGGAATAGTTACAGCAGCTGCTACAAGTTGGTAGATGAATGTAAAGGTAATTTGAACATTTGCTGTGGTGCCAACATGGTGAGGTTTGAATGGGTTCCAGGAAATTCAGAAATTCAAGAAAAGGAGAAACCTGACTGCCTTGCTAGAAAGGGCTCTGCCCATAGCACCAGAGCCCATCTGTGGGGTTAGCCTCAGCTATTCCAAAAGGCATATTAATGTAGCTGTAGCCAATAAAACCAAGCTCTAATGGGAGCAGGCTAGGAAACACACTCACTAAAGGCTGTGGACAAGAGTTCCATTAGGTATGTGACATTATATGCAGAAGTGATAATTTGGCTAGACTGCGGTATTTTCACTTTGCAAGTGATGGTATCACTGACCACAAACTCCGTGAATTGATTGATCCTATTAGTCTTCATAAGTTCGCAAAGGCATCTGGCCTGTTTTAACAGAGTACAGGACGACACACAATAGGTTTCAATGAGGCTGCAGGTCACCTTTGTTAGGTTAAAAAAAGAGTAGTTATAGTTGAACAACATTAAGTCTTCTGGAGGGCCACCTTTCAGGATCTTAGATACTCAGTTACAATGAACATTTACTTTCTTCAATATATGACCATATGAACAACACAATAACTAGTCATACATATTTTAAGATATACCTACTTATTATTGATATTAATATTGTTAGGTGGATGTTCAATAATAAGTTAAGCATTTGACATTTATTAAGTAACCATTGGATTTCACTCATTTAACAATACTAATTATTATTTACTTTCAATGAAGAAGATGTGACTAGAGCTGGTGGATCTTGAAGCAAATTGCAATGAAGACGCAAAACTCTGAGATGCTTCCATGCCTCAAGACCAGCAGGTAGAGAATCCAATCGATTTCCAGATATTACTAATTCCTCCATTTCACACCATGCATTTACACAACTATTCCCAACAAAGAATGAGACATTTAATAATAAATTACATATTCCTTAATAAATAGAAATATGTATTAAAATAAAATTATTTATTATTAATTATTAAATTGAATGTAAAGAAAAATAAAGTTCAATAAATAATATAAAAAATAAATAGCATAGAAAATACTTTATTTAACATAAAAAACAGTAGGTATAGAAGTTATACAGTGTATCCCATACCTAATAAAAATTTGATTTAAGTAATTAACCAATATGCTGATTGCAGAATTCTTTAAATAGGGAGGAGAAGAATTGATAAGCCAAATAAATTTACTGTTGGAGGATATTTGGAGTAGTAAAATCATGCCTCAGGAGTGGTGCAACAGTCTGCTATGCCCAATATATGAAAAAAGAGATAAACTTCAATGCGAGAATTACAGAGGAATTTTTTTATTGGGTTTTTTAGCCTATAAAATATTTTCAAGCATTCTCTCTGTGAGAATGTGATATGTGATATATATATATATATATATATATATATATATATATATATATATATATATATATATATATACTTTAATTATAAATGACAATTTAAATAAAAGTAACATTTAGGTATCGATCAAATAGTTACATACCTACTACAAGGGCCTAGCCTAGCTAGTCGACTTTTCTTAATCGATTTTAGTTAACACTTTTTATTCCTTCTTGTAACTTATTTATTATTGATTTTTTTAGCTCATTTATTGAAAATGAAATTTTAAAAAATTGGTGCTCGCAACACACAACATTCACTTATCGCTCAACTTTGAATAGAAATTATTTTCTAGCCATGTTGGGCTATTATATAATTTTTGAATTGCATTTTTAACCGAGCTAAAGCTAAAAGCTTACAGCTAACAAATCATAAATACCATTTCTTGAAATTATTATTTATATTTTTCTCGCCACTCTCCATTGCTTTCTACAACCTTCAATATTAGATGTTTTTTTTTTTTATTCTCCGCTTTCCAACGGTAAATCTTAGGCCTTGAGATGTTAATTGAACGAAAAGACAAGAAAGTTGCTTTCTTTGTTGACTCACAGGCAGCCATTTTGTCTCTAAAAAAAGGGATATAGTACAAATCCAAATGTTCCTAAATGCCATCAATATTTGAACCGATTAAACGAAAATGGGACAGAATAGGTTCTGGAATGATCCAACCAGATATTCCTCTGGGCATGGATTCAACAAAAAGAATCATAAAACAGACCCTCCTAAGTTCACTGAAAGAGAAATATGTACAAACAATTGAAGGGAAACGATGGAGTGGATTGCTGGAAAAAAGTGGCAGGATTCCTAGAGACCTCCCTAGAGGGCAAGCCGTGGCATGCTTTAGAATGCTGACAGGCCATGATTTCCTTCAGAAGCACCTCCACCAAAAAGATAGCCCGACATGCCCTCTATGTTATTTAGACATGATGACAGGAGAACATCTTGATACATGCCCTGCATTACAGGACATAAGATGTTTCTTTAATGAAATGGACAGCTCTTATGCTAGGAGAGCAAAATTATATTGGACTGCAAGAGCATGCATGGCTAATGAAGCAGGCGTTACTTAGGCGTAGGAAAAAAAAAAAAAAAAAAATACCATTACTATATATTATATATATACGTTAGTGAAAGTAAAAATATAATTGATGTTAAATGTGTCAGACAGTGGATATAAAGGAAGGTTAGATTGATACTATTTTTTTATGTGGTTACAAATTCACTATCTTATTTTATAAGGGCTGTTACCAAATTATAAATTATAGATTGAAAGAAAGATATGTTTCGTCATATCCGTTTAACTGGTTTAAGATCGAATGATTTTTTTATTTAAAAAAATTGTAATTTCTTCTTTTTCAGTTTTATCATAATTCATTTGGTCTATGTCAATGTTAACAGCATTTTGAAATATTTTATATAAAATCAGATGTAATGTATTTTGTTATTAAATATCTTCCAAAATTAAATTAGTACCTGCAAATAAATTAGAAAAAGATGATAAATATTATTAATAAATACAAAAATTATGTGAAAAAGATTTATATTTTTCAATTGCTATAAAAATTCTTAGTCAAGGTTATTTTACGAATATAAACTTTGTTTTTCCTTAAAGAAATACTTGAACCCACATTGCTCCTTCGGGACAAATAGTTCAAAATAGAACACGTAATTTTCATTTTTTAATTCCAATGAAACTTATTATTAGGGTTTTTCGGGGAACGAAAAATAAATATCAACTTTGTTTATCTCAAGAAAAATATTTAATGGGATCCGGAAATATATATCATGTATAATATCTATAAATACAGGCTTTATCCTTATTCGGCATAAGGACGCATTTTCTACTTTTATTCGATTTTTGGGCTCTTGTAATTCAAATTTCGAGGAGGGAGGGTTAATATATTTTCATGCTAATGGTCTGTTACAAAGTTTCGTTATCCGTACATATATTATTACAGTAAGGCTCGGTTATGTACCAAATATAAGCTCTTGTCATGCTCAAATACCATGAATGGGGTTGGATTCAGAATTTCACGGGGGATTAGCGAATCGTATTCTACACTTTTGTTTTTCTTTCTAAAATATATAAAGTCGATACAAACATTTTGCTAGGCTTCAATACCTGAACAGTGGTAGGTCTGTAGATCGATACGGGACAAATTGGATCTAGAAGATTTTTATGCGTATAGCAAGACCCGGATAGTTCCTCCGAAACTATCGGATCCTGCGTTTTTAAGCCCAAAAACGTACTATTTTCGAGATAACGCAAGGCATAGGGTTAGCATCCACACAACCTTACATTAATTGTAGTACTCTCATTGAATACATGTCTCATTTCGTCGACTTGAGGTCTCTATGATCGAGAGAGGAGGAGTTTATATTATTTATCGATGGTGTTTTTGATCGGCAAGCCATGTCATCGTCCATTTTTCACCAAATCTCAAGAATGAGCCACCAATTTCGAAGGCTTCTTTTTCCTTCAGGTGGACAAAATAGTCCAATCATCCCGAAAATTCAGGAAAAAAATTTATAAAAGAAAACAAACTTTATTTGCGAATAACTAAAAAAATTACAAACTTTTCCCTTGGTTATGCCCGTGCTTATATAAAAGATTACTAAATTCTCTACACAATGAAAAAAAAGTCATTGAAATCGGACAAGTTTTAGCAAAGATACAGCTTACTGAAATTTTTAAACATGTTGGTTCCAAACAAAAATGAAGATTTAAATTAATTTTTGTTTTCTTTGTCGATTATATTTATCGATAAAGTAACATTTGATTTCTTTATCTTTTGATAGGTTGCATTATTTTCTTTTCTTATTAATCTGGCATTTGATAACAATATGCTGTGCCTACAAGTTGAAAATAATAAGAGAAAAAAAATAACATGTGAACAACGTTTTATATCTTTGCAAACACTGGTGAGACATGGATGATGTTTACAATAATGAATTAAGATATATATATATATATATATATATATATATATATATATATATATATATATATATATATATATATATATATATATATGTATATATATATATCTATAAATACAGATTTAAGATTTATATATATATATATATATATATATATATATATATATATATAATATATATATATATATATATATATATATATAGTTATATATATATATATATATATATATATATATATATATATATATATATATATATATATATAGTTAATTTTTAACTAACCCTTGAGGTAACTGTGAAACAAGGTTGTAAGAGAGGTGAAGAAGCCTGAGGGAGTGAAAATGAACAAGGCAGTCTATTTCAGTGAGCTGGTTGCAGGTGAGGTAGAGCCTCTCCATCTGGTGCCCTTCCACAACGGCCCCCGGCAGCTCCTCCAGGCGGTTCTTCGTCAGGTTAAGTGTCCTCAACCTATTGTAACAGGCGAGGAAATGAGTAAAGACGTAATAATATTCATTTCAATTTTAAAAATTAAATAATGTGTAATAGTAGGGTGAATGCATCAGTAATGGACAGGTTGGACTTTAAATGTAAATAATAAGCTTCCTTGTTGATTTAAATGTTACTGTTTTTTTCTAGATTGAAGAATAATACCCTCTGTTGACAACTCTATGAACGAAGTCCCAAAAGAAAATTCTAGAATACCTACTTACTCCAGGGTCGAGAGCCACCTACCTGCGTCAGATATGGTTCCCTAGAGCCGTGACCACTTACTTGTGGATTGTGAATACTATGCAGCCACAGGAAAAAACCTCAACCTACACAGTACTCTTCAGGAAATATTACAAGATACCGAAAAAGATGTAGAAGTTCTGATGAGCTCCTACAATAGAATATAGGAAACTGGAGTGAAGAAAGAATTGCCAATGACCCTATCGGGTAGTAAGTAGAGGCAAATTCAGATAATAAATAAAATAGGATGCCTTTTATTGTTGTTTCTATAGTTGATCTTGAGATCAGTGTGCTTCATATCTTCCTAATAACAGTTTTGTTAAGAGTAAGCTGAACATTTATATTATCTTATCTTTATTGTTAAATAAAGATTTTAGATTTTTTCTGAGGTATGCCCATTACTGGTACCGACCCCCTGCCCGTTACTTGAACAATTGAATATAGGGGTGTCCATCACTAGTGTAAAAAGATGTTTTTTTTTTTTAAATGGTGATTATACCTACGTAACTGAATATTTTTTAAATTGTAAAGTGTTAAATAGAAAAAGGAGACCCTACAGATTCTAAATGTCCAACAGATAATTTTGTAGCTATAATAATATAATTTCCTCAGTTATGTCCATCACTACTTTCTGGCATCCATCCTTTCCATGTTATCCAATACGTCCGCCCATTATACATCTTCAAGCTCCTTCAATTTATATGCTATGTTCGTTGCCACACTACCCATTCTTTATCATCCGATCCTCGTACTCATAGCATTCCATCCCTTTCCACATCCGTTCGTCCAATACCCTCCTCACATTTAATCACTTCCTATTCGTTTCTATTTTTAAATATTAGAATTTCCATTTAATATTATTATCCTTTATATAGTATTAGAAATTCCAACTCTCCAAGAAATGTGGCAGCGTGGTCGGGACCGAAAAGGAGTCTCCTGGACGCCGGCAATGGCAACAGAGGTGGACAAAGAAGAAGAAATATTAAAAGTTATGTTATGGTTTCTTATTATTTTTATTTGTTTATTTTCCTATTCTTTTTTTATATTACTCTGAAGATCTAAAATTCATAATTTTTTTCATGTATGTTGTTCAAAAGGGGCTTTTGTAAGAATATTACACTATGCTTTCAGTGTACTTTCTGGCAAGACATTAGGAAGTCAACATTTAATACTGAGCTATGATGAAAAAAATAAATGGAAAGAGTTTCAGTTAAGCCTAAACCTTCCAAAGCCTTTTCAAGAAATGGTTAAAAATAATTGCCATCTTTCCTTCCTCTATTAATTCATTTGTTTATTATAGAAGAGTTTTATAATGTTTTAAATTTAGGTCCCTTTTTGGATAAATTAATGTTTTTAATAAAAGAATATATATGTTCATCAGTATCACTCATAGCATTTTCATTCCTATGTACACGAGTAGAAATTTCGTTGATAAAAAACTAAGTATCCTGCTTTCACATCAATTCAACGTAAAACCAATCCGCCGATTTTTTTTTTTCGATATTGGAAGAGGAGGTGCGATATAGGGAGAATATCAGTTGTGAGGGTAACATAGCTCCCGACATAGAGAAGTTTTTGCCGGGTTTCCCGTGGGAGCGGACCGAATGGAAAACAGCTTATCAACAAATAAGGCCAATGCCAGGTTCCTTTCCTCCATGTTTCGAAAATATATCTTACGGTTACGTTGTTTGTGGATATTCGGTATAAAAATTTACAAATTTTTCATAAAATGAAAAAGTATAAATCGACTTAAATTTTCTTACATCGAAAGTTAATAATTGAAATTACAAAGAAGTTAATGAGATGTATCTTGAAAAATGTATTCGTTTTCTAAACATGGTTATGTTAAATGGCAGTGAAGTTGATTTTAATGGAAAGAAATTTAACTTTAAATTTTAAAACGATAATGACGATTCACTGACTTTTGATCAAGTTGATATATAAGTTTATTTTCATGAAATTTAACATTTAATAGAGGAGTGTCTATTTCTTTTGTGCCTTTTAAAGTATCAAAATAAACGTAAAATTGATTTTAATTTTTACTGTTTTATAATACATATTTTCTTAACTAAACGGTTTTTATTGAAGTTAAATTTCATAGTTCCTTTAACATGGATAGAGGTTGATGCGACAAAGAGTAGCGAGTAGTAACAGCAATTTCTGTAAGTGAAATTAATAATTAATACCTTGGCGTGGCAAGAAAGAAATGCTGTGGGAGCGTACGAATTCTGTTTCCCTGAAGAAATATTTGCTGTAGACTGGAGTTCTTGGTGAGTGGTGGGAGACTAGAGAGGCGGTTGAAGCTTAGCTGCAGCGTCTGGAGCGAGCCTTCGCTGGAGAAGAAACGATCTGGAAGGCTGGAGATGAGGTTGTGAGAGGCGAAGAGAGTCCTCAGTAACTGGCAGGTCCCCACCCACTCCGGTAGTAATTCCAGTCTATTGCTATAAAACAATAACAAAACATTTCTATATTTAATTTATTGCATTTTATAGGCTGATTTAACCATACCCTGAAATAAAAATTAAAGGTATTAAAATAAAACTCTACATGGTTAATAGGGATGAAAAACGAAATATTATTATTCATGGATATTATAAATAGGCAAACACAAATCGGTTCAGCCCCTTTTATTCCTCAATTATTCAACCGATTTTCTTCCTTCTTTTTTTGTTTAATAGATATTGACGAGCTTTATTGTTATCAATAAATAAAAATATTAAATAGTATGTGAATAAAAATATAAATGGTAGTTTGTTCAAAACGGCTTATCTCCGAAAGTTCTTCACCGATTTCTTTTAAATTTTGACACAACGTCGCAATAATATTTAGAAGTTTTTTTGTATACGTTTCATTATCATCGGGCCTTTCCTTTCGAAATAGCGGCCGAAAAACGTGATTCGCTTTAGAATGTAACGCCAATACGGCTTCAACGATTTCAATGAAACTTGGCTAAAGTCTTCCCTAGAAACCTTTATAATTTATGTATATAACATACTTTCCCGAAAACAAGCTGCATAAATTTTTATGATGAATTCAGTATTTTATTTGCGAATAACTCAAAAAGTACACATTTTTTTTACTGATAATACCAATATTTATTCGAAAGCTTTCTTGATTTCCTACAAAATAAAAAAAAAAAATCCATCGAAATCGGACTATTTGTTTTTTGATAAATAGAAAACTTTTCATTTACTGAGGTAATTGGGTCTATTATTTGAAGAGATGATATAATGTAATGTTAGTGGAATGATACCTAATAAATTAAATTTAAAAATATATTCTATAGCTAATCTCATTGTTAACTTAAATACTGCACAAGCATTAGTTAATGGAACAGGAATGAGCCTGAAGTATTAACGGGGGCTAATTTAAATTAAGGAATTTTAATTCCAAGAATTAATTTAACATTTTCTGACACTATACTTACATTCGACTTTCAACGAACAACGTTCCTATTAATAGCTGCATTTGCTATGACCATAATCAAATCGCAGGATAAAAGTTTTGGAAAAATGTGTATATTATAGTGACGTCCAGTAATTTCGCATGGACAATTATATGTGGCAGCAATTAGAACACGTTCATTTAAAATATTGAAATTTATATTTTCAATGGCAATGGGCATGGCTATACACTAAACAATAACAGAACATTCAAAAAGAACATTATTTACATAGAAGTTCTGAATAAAAATGGATTTAAAGTGAATTTAAATTGCTTAATCATACTATTAATTTATTGTGATAATAACATACATAAATTAAAATTAAATATTTTGAATGCGTATATTTTGTATTACTTATAAATAATTTTAAATGACTTAAGCTCGATTTTTAATTGAAATTGAAATTTTGTTTGTATTAATAAATGAGTATTTATGAATCGTGATTTACTTTTTATTTATTTACTTGATTTATTTATTTATATTTATTTTTTGTTTAATTATATCTTTTCCTCAAATTTGTAATGGCTATGGTCGAATTTCGACCACTGTGCGAACACTAGTTTTAATGATTGGCTGGATAATTTTAAGCGGAATGAACCCTAAAGAAAAATATGAGAAATAAAAATTAATAAGAAAATTTGTGGATGAAAATGCAGATTACGACTGTAAGTGCATTTTCAATCAAAATAACGATATCTTCAGTGACTGGTTTCTTAAAATACGTATAATTTTCATTTCTTGTCTTTTCAACGATTTTTTTCTATGGACTTTAAGTACCATATTAAGTTTTAATTCCACTTCACACCTTAATATTACAATCAGTATTATTCGTAAAGACAAAAATATGTTCATGGTTTTCTTAAAAATTGACAGTTAAAAAATCGACGATGAAGCAGTTTTAAAAATCATAGAAAAGTCGTTTTTGTAAGTATTATTTAAAACAAATTTTTAGTGAAAACAAACCGATAATTTTATAAGTGGGTATTAATTTACTGGTATCTGTTGATATAGAAAGATTATTTTAAAAATATATAGAAAGGTAAAATATTAAGTTTTTTCATAGTTTGGTATTCATAATTTAATTTTTTTGGAAGACAAATCGCTTCCTGAATCGATTCCTGAATCCTGAATGTTATATATTTTTAATATTTTCAATTACTTACCTTTTTTACACAAAATTACCTGTTGCTGTTTTTATTTTGTTTTTAATTGCAAATTTGTATTACTTTGACATTTTAGTTTTTAAAAAAGTGTTTCAACAACATTTTTTAAACACCGGCCTCTATCAGTTATAATGATTATTTACGTTTGTATCTATCTTTACATCTACCCAACTCTCATTCAAATATTTTTAAAAAAGACCATTTTAGAGACTTTCTAAGATAGGCAAAATTCGAAACGAAGAATATTGGAACCCGGGGAAATATAAATCCTTAACCGCGGCTAACGTGTTAATTTATTTATATTTCATGTTATTTTTTAATTAATTAGATTTATGGAAAAAGAAAATCCAAAAAAAGAGAAAATATAACTGATTTCGAATTAATTTTTTCCTCCTTTTTTTATTTTTATTTTTTTTTATGTTTAGAACGTTCTGCACATTTGAATATTTTAGCTATCTGCATTGCATATTTTTTTTGCAACATAGATTATACATTTTATGTATATTTTGTTGCATGTCATATATTATTATTACATAAAAAAAATATGGTTTTATTATAAGTGGTAACGTTTGGATCTACTCGCAAATGCATTTGAGTTTTACATACTTACATACTGTTTATATTTACTTACTATGATATGTCAAGATGTTTAAGCTTCGTAGGTCGTGGGTGAATGGTGAGTTTGGTAAGGTCTAAAAAAAGATAAAAATAAAAAAATTTAGGAAAAATATAACGTATGTTAAATAGCATATGTATATTATTAATAAGCAAATTGATGTCAATCAGTAACTCACAATTGTTGCCGGCGATCAAGGAGGTAAGCGATGTCCCGTTGACCGAAAGTTCCTGCAGCTTGTTCCTCGAGCATTGCACGTTCTGGAGCTTCTCCAGGGCTCTCAGGTCGAGGGATTCGATGCTATTTTCTGAGACGTCTAGCTGGGTCAGATTCTGTCACAAAAAAACACGCAGTGGAGATATAGAACAATGTTCAGTCGCAACAGCAATTAGAAAAACAAAACAAAAAAAAACCCTGCTATACGTTATGTCAGTAAGGTACGTAAACTATTTTACTTTTAATACAAAAATTATAGACATAGTACTGCACAAAAAAAAAAAGAAAAAAGAAAGAAATAGAAAAACAAAAGAGACAATCCACATCACCAAAAATATAAAAAAGACAATAACCTACAAAACTGATACAAACAATTTAAATAACCACTGTGCTTATATTATAAATGAATTAAAAAAGAATAGTTAGGAGAACCAGCACATATAAGGGAGAGGGTTTGATAGAATACAAGGATTAGAACAAAGTTCTCTTAAATAACCAGCAATGTGACAGTGAAAGTTGATCAATTGGTGTATTAAATTATTTAAATGAAATATGGAAAAAAAGACAAATGTTTCCTGACATGAATTGGAAGAATATAAGATAGAAGAACAACATTGAGAAGGTAAAATAAATAATGAATTATATTGTATATTAAACAAGTATATGAACATATTAGAAAAAAATTGTAAAAAATGTTAATAACGTTAATATTGTTCTAACAATGTAAGAATTGATGGGCAAAGAGCCCGAAAGATAAATAAATAACATAAGCGGAAGAGAAGAAATTTCATAAAATTGTATCTATTTTACATTTGATATTTTCAACATGAAAAAGTGGTTGAAGAACTCCATAGAGATAATGAATCCCATATTTAATACATTCGTCACTATATTATCCTTGTATGAGTTTATGGGTTTGCGGTGAATTAAAATTATATTAATATGTTCATATATCAACAATTCTTGGTTTTATTCTACATATAGGCGATTAGAGTCAGAAATTAATAATTTTGTACTAGTTACTAGTTTTGGCCATCTAGCGGTTATTTTACATCAAAATCTAATTACCTAATTGTATTATTTATCGATTTTAGTAAGGATGAAGAGTAATAGCTTAAACAGGAATAAGGTATAACTTAAAATGACCGATAAGATAAATCATTAAATGAATAAATATAACTTGATAGAAAAACAAATTTCATTTAAAAAAACCTATAACAGAAATAACTATCCATACACAAGAAATGTACTAACTAGCACTGGCGAATAGTCGGGGAGAGAGGAGGAGAGCCTTTCTAAAATAACGTTAAAAAAACTAAATAAATTGAAATTATAACAAAAAAATAAACCCTTGATTCGCTAATGTATTTTAACATATCTTGTTAAACACCTTAGCAGATTGTTAGGGAAATCGGCATCAACGAACATTTTCATTTGGTGTGGTAGTCGGATGGCTTCCATCTCCCAACGAAACTCTAGACTTTTTCGGATATACAACATGGCGCAAAAAAATCTACATGAAAGTAGCCCTAATGTTATTAAAAATGATTTTATGTTTTTAAATAATGATATAATAATCAAGTAATGATGGATTTTTTCTCTGTACTTTGGGCTGAAATCATTTCAAAACATTCACGAGATCTCACTGAGTAATTTAAACTGTGTGATTTAAAAACTATCCACTCAACAAGTCATTAAATAACATTTAGCGGACAGATTAAACACATTTTGTATAATAATTGGTCAGGATTTTGAGCCCGAATTGTTTTTAATACACGAGATCTCGCCGAATAATTGGTGTCATCGAATTTAAAAATGGGTTCTGTCGTAAGCCGAAAAAACCGTTGCATACCTTTTAGCGCACAGATTAAAGCAGATTTTACACTAAAATCGGTTCGTGTTTTGAGCCCAGATTTTTTTAAATATTCACGGATATCACCGAATAATTTCAGCCTTCGAACTTGAAAGGACCGACTATTCTTCTCTTCGTCTTTTTTCGGCTCACAAAAACATTATACACCTACAAAGCGGTCAATCCGAATACAACCCTTCATGTTGCTTCGCCTTATTCTTCTTCTTATTCGTCTTATTAGAGTAATAAGATATTACCTGATAAAAATGAGCTAATGCTAATATAATGTTATATTTAATGATAATATAATATTAACGATAATACAACATCTCTCTATTATATAAAAATGTTTTTAGTGTATGTCATATTTTATTTTAGTGTAAGATGTTACAGAGGCTCTCCTATTATTTCCTATTATTCTCCTATTAGTAATTAGCACTAAAACAGCCGTTCATTTAATTACATATGTGTTAAGCTCCTATTAACTAATACTCTCCTGATACAAAATAAAGATTTTAGACTAAACATTTGTACGGGAAATAGTATCTGGTGGTAGTTTGATTTTACCTAGGTAACAGCAGTTATTTTTCGATCTAGAAATTTTCCCTTGAATACAATATATTGATTGATATTATGTATATAATATTATTTATATTATGTTATGATATAAGTATTACGAAATAGAAAAGGAAGCACAATATAATAAACAAGGAAAATATTAGAAATAAAAGGCTTAAATTATTGTTGGGCTTATATGAAGCTGGACAAGTTGAACATATGGTTAAAAATTGGCAATAAGAATAATTATAATTATTGGCAATAAAGCGTGGATATGTATAATATATTCTTTTAAAGAAATTAAAAAATTGTCCGTACAGTGGTTTCGTTCAGTTTATTTTATGTTGATAAAAATAATACAACCTAAAATAATACTACAGAATACATGTAAATTAAAGTAAAATTCAACTATTAGTATAATTAAATTACCAGTTGTATTATTTGTAAAATGGGGGTTAGTCCACCGCGGACAGGGGTATAAAACATCATCAAAGGGAGATATTTTCTTTATTGTCTATGTAGTAAACAAACGAGTTTTCTGTAATTTGAAACTTATAATTATTTTTTTAGATTTTTTAATATTAGGCAATGATGAACAGCAATTAAGACGCACTTCTACATCAGTCTTCAATGAATAGTGTCTGATTGTGGATCTTCATTTTAGATTTTTAAGTGTGGTTTCGCAGGGTAAAATTCGGTAAAAATCATTAATGTTTAAAATAAATTTTAGGGAGATTTAAATATGGCAAACTCTAACGATTATAAAATACACCAGGTTGGCAAAATACTTCAGTACATTCTTTGGTATCGGTGTAGCGGTTCTCGAATAAGGGAAAATTCGTCGGTAGGATCTCAAGGAAGGCGCTCAATGGGCAAGTAGTGAAAACCGCTTCACACGCCCGGGCCTTCCTCTTCCGATAGAGTCGATTACATCTGCATCTAGCTCTTCGAAGATATTTGATAAAATAGATAGATAAAAGATAATTATAAAACGAGCTGTTAAGATATCAGATATTACTAAGTAGTAAATAAAAATAAACAAAAGTTGGCCAGAATTTCAATATAATTAAGGCGAGGAATTGGACCGATATTTAAAGAAACTGAAGTTGTTATAACTTGAAGGACTCGCATTTAATTTTATAAAAATCCCAAATAAAATTTTTATGAATCATAAAGATTTTATTAAGATAAAATATGATTAAAATAATGTTTTTTTTTTTTATTAGTGCTTATTAACATTTTCTTTAACGCTGACTCTTTTTATCTTTTAATCAATATAATTGACTTTGCACAATCAAGAAATGTAGAATTAATTGAAATAAATTCTATATCATTCCTGGCTTGTCTTTCCTATTTTTTTATTTTTTTATAATGATATAAGTCCCCCTAATGAAAGAGGCATACGTGACAAAAATTAAGTTTTCAGTAAACGAAAGTTAAATCTCTCTTTTTTGGCATTGGTGATTTATTTTTATAAGTTTTTACATATCTTTTCTGACAGTTGAAACAGGTTTTCACCACGTTCGAATATGTTTTAAATTACTTAAAGAATGTTAAATAGTACTTATTTCACATTTCACAATGGTGAAAAAAAACAACAGTAGCTCATCGGATATCTTCAATATTTAGATTTATTATTGGGTTATTGAAAGAACTTAAAAGATTTATAAAAATGAACATAAGTCCGATTTTTAGATATTGCCATGGCGAATCGATTATTGTCACTTTTCGGATTTCTTCGATAAAAGGGTTCAGTCGGAGCATCTTTTACTGAAAATACTTATGATTACTCGTTCACGTGCGATTTTTAAATTTACAGTATTTTTAAAACGTACGTCATTATCTAATTGTGAAACTGAGTATCGAAGAACTTTAACGTATTAAACTAAATCGATACGAGACCATGCTGTCTCAACATAGGTGATATTTAAAAAAAAATAGGCATAATTTCATAATCAGAAGAGTAATAGTTCTAGAATTATTAAATATTCAATACATTCATTTATGTTAAATTAATTACTTTTTTCTAAAATAATTACTAACGTAAGGCTAATTAGTTTGTTTTTTCAACGAATAATCAATAAATCAATTCTTATTTAAAAGACAACATATTTTTATTAATTCGTTATTTGAATATAATTTGCTCAACTATAGCTTGCATCTTGTAGCTTTACCTCCAAAGCCCAATTAACATTTGTTTGAAAGTAAAGTGATTGACTACTAGAAAATTTCAATTTACGAAGTAAATTGGCGAATTTCCATATTTTGTACTTAATTCGTTTTTTTTTTTTTTTTTGAAGTCCTTTGCCTTTTGGGGTCTCAAATAATATAAAACCTTTTTATATAATATTTGTATGCATCAATTCGGTGTTTCTTATAGAATATTGTTATTCTTAAAGGACCATGGTCCAGAATAAAGTTTATTTTTCTATTCTATTCTAAATAAGATCATTTAAACTAATTACAACATTAAGATATGAATTATTTTAAACTTAATGTGATTTATCTGGAACATAACAAATAAAATACATAATAAAGGGGTCCCTTAAACTACCGGTGTTAACTTAGTAACTCCACCATGCCTCGGACGGAGGTGGAGGGTGACAGACCTGGTAGACGAAGCCTTGGATGGCGACCCTGCGCTCGGTGGCCTTGGTGAACCGGAGGGCCCTCTTCTCGTTCGTCCTGGTGTGGTCCTTCTTCTCG